TGATGAAGCTTTTGTCAACCAAGGTTCTGTAAGAATTAAACACTACAGAAATTGAATTAAGTGACTATTTCCTCAGTTCTCTTTCTCTCAGGGATGGTACACAGCGAGTACCATTTTAGGTGCAGAGAGTGGAGTTAATTCACTACATACTTTGGATGCCTTAGAGCATTAGGGCTTGCTATATTCACTAGAACCCTAGTTGAGAAGGGCTGCTCTTATGTATCCCCAAGGCCTGGCACAAAGTAGGTGCTCATTAAATATTTCTGGAAAGAATGAATATTGACAAAACCAAAGGAATAGTGCTTAGCACAGAGTAGAAGCCAAATGTCGATTTAATTCTACACCTTCAAAGTTCTGGTAAACTTTAAAAGTCTGATTCTAGGGGAGTCATTTTTCTTGAACCACAGCTGCCTGTATTATTCAAAGCCAAAAATACACAATACACAAAGTAGGAAAGCCAAGAAACAAAGAAACCAATGTTGGCAGGAACTATGTGGATATAGTAAGAGATGGAGGGTAGGTAGATTTGGATACGCAGGGAAAAGGCAAAGGTTATTCTAGGACAGGAAATAGCATAAGCCAAAGCAGTGCCACCCCCAGTTTGGAGTACATTCCATTGTTGACACAAAAAGTGATTTTAAGTTATACATGGGCAAACATCTTTATTCTGATAGTTGCATATGCACATAACAATACATGTAATTAGGACAATTGTGATTTCAAAATTTTACTATTTACAAGAACACTAAACAGTACCTATTTGGATTTTTTTAAGTGAGTTGTTTCAAAAAAATGTATTAAGAAAATAATAATGCACAGGAGATAAGCAAATATGACAAAAATTGTCAGAGTTTTAGAGTAAAATTTGAGAAACATCAAGCAAGGCATGGTCATGTGATTGAACGTAACATGTTAAGAGAGAAAAGCCACTACTCTTCTGAATGAAACCAAAGCTCCATCTTGAGCAGCAATTCAACGTAAAGGACAGATGGGTGTGAAGAATACCACCAGTTTTGAGTCTTTAATTTGCAATGCTAAAATTCTGTCTTTAAAACCCTCATTTTCCACTATCATAAATTTGCTACATTTTCAACTTAATTTCTTCTCAAAACAAAGGTAAAAATTTTTAATTTCCACACAGATAACTGAAATTGGGACTGACCTGCTTGTAGCCTCGTAACTTACCTGAAAATAGGGAGCTAAAACTCTGTACTTTTCACACCAGAAGGAATTAACTTTTACAGTAACAAAATATGAATCATATCTACATCAAAAAGGGTGTTCAATGAAAAGGAGCAAAAAAATAGCTTCCGATTCCCACCTTCCTCTCTCAAAATTAACCCACTAATAGCCAAATCAAGAGATAATGATAATGAGCATTTACTTGATGCTTACCATGTGCCAGGCACTGTTGCATTTTACCTACATTAAGTTATGCAATTATCACCACCTTCTTATGAAGTATATCACTATATGGATTTTATAGTTCTAAGAACAAAGGCACAGAGAGATCTTGCCCAAGGCCAGAGCTGGTAGATGGCAAGGCTGGGGTTTAGATCCTGGAGGTTCAGCTACAGTCTGAGCTCTTAACCACCAGGCATCATTTCTCTCAAGAACACCAGGATGATAATTTGAAATATTCAACAATTCCCATTATGGCAAAAGAGATGTAATTTTCCAAGGCATGAGCCTTTAATTAAGTTTCCAGTCTAAAAAAACAGTTGATTCAACTGTAAGGAAAAACTGGGAAGACGAGTATTATAAAGGAACAATCTAAGCCCAGGATTACAGACAAAACATCGGAAGCCTCAAAAGTATGGCTGGATGACACTATGCACAGAGAAAGAAGCCAAAAGTTGCGATAAGCAAAGGGTGTATCTTATTTCTACTGGGTCTACTTCGAGGGAGATGCCGTCCCCTTCCCTTTAGGTGATTCCCTACACGAGTCCATAGATTCAAGGAATTAGGAGAAAGGATGGCAGAAGGGACTAGAAGGGGGCAAATCAAGTCTTGGACTCTGAACCACAAAGTGAGCTTGATGTACCTTGGTGAATTTGAGAATTTATGTGGGCAATTTGTGCTTGGAGGTAGGGAGGTTGCGGGCATGGCCACTGAGGAGGAGGTAGTGGATGTCTGGCTGGGGAGTTGAGAATTTACCCTAAAAAAA